ACAATAGATCTCTGGTACAATCATTGCTCCGAGTGACCCAGATTATTGGGAAGGTCTTAACCTCAGGAAATGGCTTTACTTTCATGGTGTGAGCCGCTTGACTGTTGAAGGAGGTGGTACTGTTAATGGAATGGGTCAAGAATGGTGGAGAAGATCTTGCAAACACAATCACACCAATTTAAGTTTGCCTCTTTTTCTCTTCAATATGCTGTCTTTAGAGAAATTAAAAGGGAGACTCACTGTTGTTTCAACCATCTCTTTTGCAGCCTTGTCGAGGTGCTCCAACGGTAAGCAAGCAAAGCAGCCAATAGTTTTCTTCTCTGTTGGTGTGTGTGTGGTTACTGTTTTTATAACTCTGTTCGTTGTGTAGGCCTTGACATTCCATAAGTGTAAGAACATGAGGCTTGAAAACCTCAATGTGATAGATAGTCAGCAAATGCACATTGCCTTTACTAGCTGTCGCCGTGTGACCATCTCTGGTCTAAATGTCATAGCTCCTGCTAGTAGTCCAAACACTGATGGAATTCATATAAGCTCCTCTCATGGTATCGTGATAGACAACACAACAGTCAGCACAGGTCAGTGTCCTCTACTTAAATCTAGTATTTTTTCTCTCTGAATGTTGATCATTCGGATCTGTTTGTGTAGGAGATGATTGTGTTTCAATTGTAAGAAATTCTTCACAGATCTCCATCAGCAACATTGTTTGTGGTCCTGGCCATGGCATAAGGTAACTAAAGCCAGAGAGAGACAACAAACAGTATCTGCTTAAGCATAATCTTATAATAGACTTGTTTTTTTTTTGTAGCAGTGGAAGCCTAGGAAAATCAAAAATCTTGGGAAGAAGTTAGTGACATAACGGTTGATACGGCCTCCATTTCTGACACTGAGAATGGTGTTCGGATCAAAACATGGCAGGTAATTTCATCGTATCAATGTATTACTTCACTTTTTGACAATGAAAGAAACTTAACTTGCTTGCTTACACTTTGAACTAGGGAGGGACTGGTTTGGTCTCAAATATCATCTTTAGGAACATCAATATGAACAATGTGTCGAACCCCATTATCATCGATCAGTATTATTGCGATTCTCGGAAGCCGTGTGCGAATCAGGTAATTAAAGAACTTCTGAGCCATTTCTTCCTTCAGTAGCTCAATATTGAACCTGAAAATCTGATTAAAAAAACCTAAAACTGTTGCAGACATCAGCTGTTACAATTGAGAAGCATTTGTTCGCATTCGGGGAACCTCAGCATCAAACAAGCAATCAAGATCTCTTGCAGCGACACTTGGCCATGTCGCAACATAAATCTACAAGACATTGATCTTGAACCATCAAACAGTGATGGTTTCACAAAGTCCTTCTGNTGGGAAGCTTATGGTTCGAGTTCAGGTCAAGTTTACCCTCCTTCTTGCCTCTCAGATGAGACAAGCTTCTTGAAACAGTCGGTTCAGTCCGAAATCACATCTTTGTACCTTTAAACTCATGTTTTCAGATTGCAAATCTACCACGTTTCGATGCATACCAAAATATTCATGTTTATAGCAAATTAAGTTCACCAATCTATATAGCCTTATCAACTTCATGAAATAAAATGTAACCAAATTCCAGCTCACAAGTTTTACCTTACGACCATAGCGACCAATAGTTCACGGTTGTTGGATAAATTCATGAAAAGTTGTAGGGAAACATTGACTTAAAAACACTTTGGGATCAGTAAAGTAACCAAAACTAGAAAGAAGTTGTAATAACCGAAACAATAGGGTACATATGTAATAACAAAAATTATCAGAAATATTTTTAATAAACCAGGGGAACATATGTAATACCTAAAACTATAAGAAACTCATGTAATTAACAAAATAATGGGAGTACATCTGTAATAAACAAAATTTTAGGGAACATTTGTAATAAGCTAACCACAAACTGAAAGGAAAACTTGTAATATGGCCTATGAACCTAAAAGGACCAACTATTGGGTGAATTTATCAAACGAAGACAACTATATGAAAAAAAAAACGGCCCATAATGTGAATTTACAAATGTTTTTTGTTCTTTTAATTGTCATCGGAGCTAGGAAAACGACCGGTGGAAGATGCCTTTCGGTGGCTTATCTACTAGTCCTCCTATGTTCTCTCTAATCAAGTCCCATTTGTTAGGTTAGATTTTATGTATGCCTTTCCTTTTTTTCAAAGAGAACCTTAAGATTTGATGCTTAATTTCCTATTTAAAATAGAAACGTACATAGTATTTAATTGATTTAAAAGTAGGGAATATCAGATTTGCAATTTTAAGAAAGGGTAAGTTGCAATTTTAATATTTAATTGCCGATATTTTTGTGTGCTAGTTTAGAACTTTAGAGATGTAAGTGGATAAATGATGAAAGGATATGATTTTGTAAGATTAGCCTGCCTTGTTATATCTAAAACAAATTCAACATTCGATTCCTTCCAAACATTCAAAAGTTGTTTCCGTAGGATTAAAAAGACTTAAAACATACACATAATCCTATAAATACACCCCTCAAAAATCGCACTCACCATCATCCAAATATCAAAGTCCCCCACTAAACACACATAAAAGAACAAGAAGATGAGCTCCTTACAACAACTTCCTGGTACCAACTCCAAAGTTATTACCGAGAAGAGAAGATCGGTGACAATACCTTCAAATGGCAAGAATCGAGAGAACAAGACAAGACGTTGATTTTGGTCAAAATCCCTAAAAGTGCGATTTCAAACGCGACAAGGTGACGTCTCTGCTCGCGGCTCGCCGGCGTCAACTCCGACGTCGGCTTCTGGTCGACATCTCTCCTGGTTCGCCTCCTCTCATGGGGCTGAACAAGCAAAGCAAAAATTCATCCTCCAAGACCAAGTCAAAATCGAAGAAACAAAATAAGAAGGGTCTCTTCTCTCCACCTGCGAAGGATGGGTTGAGCGGAGCTTCGTTGGTTGTTTCTTCTCCACCGCCTCCCGTAAGTCGTAACAGTGACACGAACTACTGAAGCTTNTTCAAAAGGGGCCTCAGTTTCCGGTTCTGGTCCTGCTATCGAAGGCACTGTGGCACCTGAGATCGCTAAAAGGGTGATTCAGGAGCAAAGTAAGAATTTTTGGGTGGCTGAAGAAGTCACAATCCGGTCAGGTTCTGGCAATCAAAAATCCCAAAATTTGATTCCAGAGCAGACTCAGAAACCTCCAACTGAAACACCGAAATTGGTCGCTGCCCCTAACAAGGCTCCGACACAGGAAACTCAGACATCCCCAAATGTGGCTGCGACGGACCCGACGAGCATCATAACCATCGGGAACTGGACAGTCGTTCATGTCCCACCACACCGCTATTTTAGCCGTCTCGTATTCAGGCGCCGCCGCCTTGTTCCCCCACCACATCTTTCCTTTTCTTACTTTACCTTCGATCCTTAGGGTTTGTCATCTTCCTCTTTATATATACACACCAAACTTATGGGCCTAAATGAAAGCCCAATTTTATCATGTCTTTTTGCTCGGTACTAGGCCTCGACATATGGGTATACAGCTTCGGGTCCTATCGAGTCGGATATAGAATTTTTATATCCGTACAAGTACCTAAAATTATTCAAAAAATTCGGATACAGGTTCTTTTACGTTCAATCGTACTTAAAACTATTTTTTTCTCTAAAATCTACAAAAAATAACTTATAAAATGAAAATATTTGAATAAAAAACAATACAAAACATTTAAATACCAAATCTAAAATTTAAACTAGTTAAAAATGTGACAAAAGGTACC